CCAATCACGGCACAGATCGAGGCCTTTCGATTTAGAACACCTGCGAGCCTGATGCATTGGATTACTGCAGCGAACTTCGGGCAGCTCCCAGCGGGCATAGTCACCCGCAACCTTGCGCGGGATGAACGTCACTGGTGCGCCCAAGATATGCCCCGCGACCCCTGGCGCGGCAGGCGCAGCGGCAACGACCTCAGGAGGGGCCGCATGTCCCATCGGGAGGAGGAGAGGGGGGAAGGGGGGCGGGTCATCCCCGTCGGAGTCTCCGACGACGTGGCCGGCAGGGCCATCGCCCCCTCCTGCGCCGCCGAGCCCGCCGGCGCCGCCCAAGACGGGCGGCGGGGGCGCGTCGGGTTCGTCGCCCCCGACAATATCGCGCATGGCAGGCGCGGGCGGGGGCGCGGCGGGGGCGGCGATGGGCAGCGCTGCCTCGTTATCAGGAGCATCGCCCAACAGCTCTAAATCGCGTTTTGCACCTCTGCCCATCGGTTGTCGCTGTCACGCCTTGATCAAGAGTCTGCAGCATGCCTGCGGCTGCCTGCTCGGCAAGCCCCCCCCCCTCAGATTAACATGCGCGGCCCACAAAAATAACGCGCTGGAGAGGAAAGAAGAACACGCGGGGGATCGCCCGCCGCGCGTTTTCTGCATTGCTCGATCGCGCGTCGTCTTGCGGCCCGCCGCGTCGCACCCCAAAGACGCCAAGTAATCGCGCAGCGCAAGAACAAGGCAGCTAGGATGAGACAACGGGACGAGGGCTGCAACAGCGCGGGGTTCGCCCGGCGCACGCAACCACCGACCTGGAATCGACAAAACCCCCACCTCTGCAGTAGGTCACGCGGTAATTCCGCAGGCCCACCGCAGAGCGTGGCGACGTCGATTCGACCAGAGTCTCCCACTGGGAAATAATGGAAACCACCCCCAAAAATGCAACTCGTCTCGGCGGGGCCCCCGCCGCTCGATGGACTGAGCTGTTATCTCGTGCGCGCCTGTTTGGTGAACCTGGGGCGCAAAACGAGAATCCTCTAGTCTCGACTCCCACCCGCCCCCCTCGCCAACCTCGACTAGGGTGTCAAAACCAGCCCGGCGGGTCCCAGGCGCCTCGCAGAAGCCTGCCAGGAGCGCCGATGATAATGTTCAGGGGCCTCTCGGCCTCTCAGAAGCCGGGCCCCCCTCTTGCGACGCCCCGCTGAAAACGCACCCCGACGCGGCATCGGGGCCGCCCCCTTCCCTCTCCTGAGGCCCCGAGATCGCTCGGTAGAAAAAATCTTCCTCCTCCTTCCTCACTCAGCCAATGCTGATCCCACCCTCCATCCTTCACCTCCCCCGCGCCTCCTCCCGCGCTCAATCCCTCCTCCCCCCCCCCCACCCCCCAGTCGGATCAAAGCTGGTTGATTTGTCCATGCGCGAGCAACCTCGCCCACATACGTCTCCGCGAAGACGCCCTTCCCTTCGAGGGCCAAGACTTGCAGCGGCAGCAGTTCGAGGAGCCAGTCTGCGCCGCGCGATGGCAACGAAACGAAACAGAATGGTTCCAACGCCGACGGCAACCACTGGCGAATCATTTTCGCCTGAACTGCCGCGTGGCCAAGGTCATGCCTCAATCCCAGCACCGCCTCCACCTCCGCCTCCACCCCCCCTGGCGCCAGCGCATCCATAGGGCCCGCCATGGGCCCCTCGGACATGTGGAACGGTCTGCCCAAAGTGCGGAGGCGGCGGGGCGCCGCCGCCTGGGCCGCCCGGGACATCCAGGTAGTCGCCAGGATCTTCAGCTGCTGGGCCGACATCGTCGGGCAGAGGGTGGGCCATCGAGTAGACATTGGCCTTGAGCTTCCTTCTCGAAATTCGGGAGACGGTCTGAAACCTGCAACGCTGCGATGATCGAAATCACTGAATTATCGATGAATATGACTGCCATGTTTCACGTGCATCAAGGCCGACGACAGTGGGCGCATGGTTTACATATTCGATGTTTTGGTAAATCCGCATCGTGCTCGCGATCCACGGCCTTCCTGCGGCTCTAGAACGCATGGACACGCGCGAGCCCGCGGCGCGCGGTCGTTCGCACGCGCCGTCATCAATGCGCACCTGGTGCAAGCTGGACACTTCGGCGGCCAACTCTGGAAACGCTCCACTGCCGTCATCTCCCCGGGCTTCATATGGCCCCGAAGCAAGCTGTCAGGCAACGAGAACTCCCTCGACACCCGATGGCGCGCGTCTGCAGGTACCTGCGCCCACTGCTCAACGCATCTAACTCGAACACCTGGCTCATGCAATCGGGCAACGAGATGCGAGTTGTTGTGCAAGTAATGGAGCTCGCGCCTTGCGAATGCCTCAACCACCCCCACGCGGCCTTGGATATCTCTCAAAACTCTTTGAGGGGGGCCAATCGAAGCAGCGGTCCACTCGTTGACCTCATCCACGCCAGCTCGAAGATGCGACAGCGCACGCTGGCGCGCCTCCGGCAACCGACGCCCCTTGCCGGAGCGAGACAACGCATCGCCGTCACCTGGCTCGCGGCACCCGCGCCCCTGGCCCCGGGGCAGCATGTGAAACGACCAATCGCGAGACCATGCCACTACATTATATAGGCCTCTCCAATTCTGAAACCTCACAGCGCCCGTCGCAGACTTGGCGAACTCCATCTTTACTTTTGACCAAGAGGCGCGGGCCCCAGGAATCGGCAAGCGCGTCGACGCCGCTGGCCGACCCAGCGCGCGCCGCGAGCAACGTCCGCCGCCTACAGCGCGCAATAGGTGGAGGCCTGAAGGACTCGGCGATCTTGGCTGCTCCTGGATTCCTGGAGCGGTTGAGTCTTCGGGCGAGAAGGTCTCTGGCAAGCTGCTGTCGCGGCCAAAGCGCACTTGCTTGGGCGGCTTTGGCCCAGACAGGGCACCAGGGAAACGATGACAGGCCTCGCCGCAGAAGTAAGTCCCATAAAAGGGCGCCAGCCAGATGTCTCGAGGCATCTCGGAAAGAAGTATTCCTGCCCATCAAAATGTCGCGTCTGATTTGTTCGCCGAGCAGCTTATAGAATCACCCAAAAAGCCAAGCGCGTCGGGAATGAATCCCGCCGCCCCCTCATCCGTCGCGATAGATCTCACTCGCGCGCGCGCCGCGGCAAGAACATCGCGCGAGGGCCCGAATAACAAGGGCACTTGCCGCGGCCTTGCTATCGTCTCCCCGACCCTGTCAATGAACTCCTTCCCCAGTCAAGCTGCAGGCTTTCCCGATGAGCGCGCGCCCAGCCCAAACGTCGATCGACGACGAGCGCAGCTCCAAACCCCGCCGCTGAGGAGACGCATCAATGAAAAAGTTGATGTTGATTTTGTTCGTTGGGGCGCTGGCTAATACTTCCTTGTACAGGGCCCGAATCGCCAACGCAGATGCGACGTCGAGGCGGGCGCGGGCCCTGCGCGGGGCCCCAAAACACACTGGTTGCACGCGGTCTAAACTTCGAACAAGGGAACCCACGCACGCTTTGAAAAGATGCGCTTGAATGTGTCGGCCGCCCCATGGATGTTTCTAACGTTTCTCGCATACTTGGAAGCCCTCGCCAAATCGATCAGGAGCAACGGGTCCACGGGCAATTTCTGCAACCGAGTATCTGTCTGAACGCCCGCACCCCCCCCCTCATCTTGAGAAACAAATGACTTTGGCCCCGACGAGGCGCGAAAATAGCCCCCAATGAACGTTTGGCAGCAGGTCGCGACGGTTCTCTCAACATGTTGCCTCTCCTGGACTGGCCGCGATTGGAGCGCAACGAGAGACAGACAACATGCCACCAATTACAACAGAAGCAAACGCTGGCGCCAACCTGCACGCTGAAAATATCGAACACTGGGTTCCACAACATCAGCTCTCGAACAAAATCAGACGTGCCCACCAGCCCACGGAGCTGTGTTTGGAACGCCCCTATCACGACACCTCTGTATAAAGTGCTCAACGCATCCACAGGACGAAAGTTTTTTCCTCTCGGGCCTGGAACGGTGGCTTGAAGTCTTGAGCAGACGCGCGTAAGACAACCGCCGTCGGATTCCATGAAAATTGCGCGGAACCAAATGTGGTTTTGGTGATCGTTTCGGTGGATCCGGTTTCCGTCCGCGCGGATGCGATTCCGGAATTGCCGGATCCATGTTCGGTCGTATTGTCTGACGACGGATCCGATTTTACCCCGTTCCAAAATTCTATATTTACATTTGAATGGGGAGCCGGAGGAGATCGGATCTGCGGACCCCGGAAACCGGCCGTGTTAAGATTCTGCGGGGGAAGGGGGGCCGGTCATTAGCTGTCAACTCATCACCGCTATTTGCACCTCAAGAGGAAAATCTTTCGCCCTGCGTAAGTATCTCCCTCAACGGGCAACGGGTACTCAAACGGTACGCGCCTAGACGCAACGTAAGACACAATTCCATATATCTGGCCAGCCTTGGTGATCGTGCCTAGGCGGTTAAAGAATAGGTTGAGGTTCCGATCCTATTTGCGGTCAACGTCCGAACCACCAACAACTTCGAACTGGTACACCAGCGCTCCAAAGATATGAACCCCATGCGGTATATCGGAAACTGCATCGGTGGGCTTACACAAGAAAAGACCACAACCCAGCGGCAGAAGAAACAATCAAACAGACTCGCAGTGGGCCAGAAGTGACAACAGGTGGGGCCAGTCGGCGACGCCTGGTCCTGGGACGGTCGCCATCACCACCGATGCCCTCTCCATGACATCCCGGGGTGGGTCGTCATCGTCACCAGCACTCTCCATGAAGCCGACACAGGGGCGGGCTTCGTTTCGGACGTCCAACACCACGCGAGGATGGGGCCAGAACCTATTCGGGGCGGACTGGCTGCCAAAATGGCATCACGATCTGCATGCTCCCTCAGATTCGCTCCTTGCCCTTCCCACTCCGTCCTCTCCGCTCTCCCTCCCTGGAGGAGGACATGCAGGAGGAGGAGGAGGAGAAGGGCCTACGAGAGCGAGGCGCCCCACAGCTCGGTCCTCGGAAGACTTCACGAGAGAACTGGACGGGCCTGCGGACTGGGGAGGAGGAGGAGGAGAAGGAGGAGGAGGAGGACGAGGAGGAGGAGGAGAGCTCGGGAGAATTCAACGACGACAATGTCGAGAGGCGCCAGATGACAAGCAGGAGGAGGAGGACGAGGCGGAATTGGAGGAGGGAGGAGGGAGCGAGGAGGGCGGGAGGAGCTTGAGCGGAGAAGGACGACGACGAGTCGGAAGAGGCAAGGGGAGGAGGACCTCGTCCCCCTCGTCGTCCCCTGTGGGCTCCAGCTCCCACCCCGCGTTGGTCACCACGAGCTTTTCGATGTGCACGCGGCTGCCAGGGCTCGCAGTGACCACCAGCGCCCCGTCGAGGGCGAGGTCCTTGATCGTGATGTCTCCATCCAGCACCTGGAGGCCTCCTAAATGGGGTCGGAGGATCGCGCCGCATCGGCGATGCATCGGCGGCGACGTCGATGAATCGGCGTCGCCGGCGCGGAGAAAATGGGGATCTGCATCGAGCCGCATCGGCGATGCGTCGCGATCCTCCGACCGCATCTACTCGCACCCCATCTAGGAGGCCCCGAGCACCAGCGTGGATCGCTGGGAGATCTTGACCTTTGCGCCAGGCAGGAGGCGGTCCTTCACGCTCCTGTAGCTGCACGCCCACCGAGGCGACCACACGACGCGCGCCTCCAGTTCGACCTCGATGCCGTTGAATCGAGCCTTCTGCGGCGCCTCGACCTCGGCGCCAGCCATGCGCAGGATCCTGCAATTGGCCGCGAAGAGGTCCGTTTCGCCCGTGGTGCCACTCTGCGGGTGGTTCCCAGACTCGAACTTCTGCCGCGCGGACTTGGGGTCGTTCTTCACTGGAGAGTAGGAGCACCACTGGTCGAACATCGTGAATCCAACCTTGGCCCCGGGAGGGAACTCCTTCGGGATGTCCTGCATCATGCACTCCAGTCTCGTGGACGACTTGAATTTGGTCTTCGTCTGGTCCGCATACTTCGGATTCACAAACTCTGCGATCACGCCTCCCGTGCGCTCAAGCGTGGGCAGATATGTATCCATGGAGAGCACCAGGGAGTTCATATTTCCAGGAAATGGCGACCATCCTGTCGAATCGGCAGTGTCGCCGTCGGGCATGGTGGTGCTCCGCAAGAGCGGATCCAGCTGGTTGTACTCCACGTTGAGGGTGATGCTGGAGCCGTCCGTGCGCGTGAGCTGGGCGATGCCCCCCATGGCGTCCTTCGGCTTCCGGGGCACGGCCACAGAGTTCATGGCCATGCCGGTTTCCGACGACACCCCCAGGGTCGCGAGCACGGTCTTGACGAAGAAGGCGTTGGTGTCCTGGAACAGGACGACCCAACGCTTGCCCTCCTCGGCAAAGGCCCTCGCGAGGCCCGAGGAGTGCATCAGCAGATGCACGTCGCCGTGGCCGTGCGGCTTGGTCTCGATGAGGCCCGGGTCCTTCGGGTCTGGGCCCATGCGGGCATCCGCGTCCGTGAGGCAGGCGACCTTCTCCTGCTTCAGCAGATGGACCTGGCCCTTCTCGAGCCCGAAGTAGCCCCCCTCCTCCAGGAGCTGCAGGGTCTTCAGGTGGGTGTCGTCGGAGGTCATGATCACGAGTGGGATCCTGGACGGCGCCCCGGGCGGCTGGGACTGCAGGGCGGCGACAGCCCTGCAGTAGCACTCGAGGTAAGTCCAGCCGGACACCACGGTGGCGGGCAGGGCCAGCTTGATGCCCGAGAACCTTCGCTGCCCCGATACGCCACACGCAGCCCGTAGCGTCTTGGCGCGGAGGTTGACACGTAGACGGAAAACGTGGGTCTGGCGCGATGTGCTCGCCAGAACGCCAGATCGTGGGCCAACACGTGCCGAGCCAATCCGCAGCGTGTTACCGGCGTTTTGGGGGGCGGGGAACGCCAAGGTACAACGTATAGAAGATGGCGCAAGAGCGCCCCCCGCGCCCCCAATTCCAATGTTCACTTAACCGCGCAGGCCGCGGTCTGTAAATACTTGCGCTGTTGTTCGAAACCACTCCCGCTCCCCCGCGTGGAACGCCCCGACCTGTAAAATTAGGGTACGGGGCTGGGCCCGCTTCAACACGCACTAGAGTAAAGTCGGGTATGTCACTTCTACAGGCGGATTTTAGAGCAACCATAAAAATACACAAACATAGTCATGCCTAGTAAAACAATGGCACGAAAAGTCGTCCACATACTATTGCTTGAATATAATTGATCATTCCTCCCGTAGGGGGGCATGCCCGACTGAACACGAGAGATGGGCGTTTTTTCGAAGACCACGGTGACACAGACGTTTTGAATATGGCACGAGTTGCTTTTCGGCACGGGCGTACCTGGGCAGCCAAGTCGAGACTAATCGAGGCCAGTCGACGCTAAATACACGCTTGTTAAAGCTAGCTGACGCTGAATCGGCGCTACCGCATCGACTGCCAGACGCTAGCCGACGCTGGCGCACTTCCAGGGCGGAGTGACCAGGGAGGGCGCACAAGGCTCCCACGATTTGCTACCGAACGGGAACCCGAGCCGCTCCCCGAGACCACCAGCCACGAGGACGAGCACGGCGGCCTTGACCTCCTGGGCGCCCAGCGCCTCCAGCTGCTCGAAGCGAGCGTCCCCGTAGACGGCGCGCTCGCCCTCGGGCACGGACGGCGTGTAGCCCTCGAAGGGGTTCTCCCCGAGCTGCGACGCCTCTTGGGAGGTCCCGAAAACGCGTGGTGACGGCCCGCGTGGTGACCTCGGAAGACCCAACCAAGACGAAGCCAGGACGAAGACAAATTCGGGTGAGGATACATCTGGAACCTCTGAGATCCGGCGGCTCTGGAAGGTGCATCGGGCGCCGCGGCCTTCTTCTCAGAGCATTCCGGAACGCTCTCTGAGAGCGTTCCGGAGGCGCGGGAGCCACCCGGCGGCCGCTGCGAGCCTGCTGGATCCCTCCTCCTCATCCTCCTCCTCCTCCTCCTCCACCTCCTCCTCCTCCTCCTCCTCCTCCTCCTCCTCCTCCTCCTCCTCCTCCTCCTCCTCCTCCCCTCTCGTTCACCTCCTCCCCCTCCCCCTCGTCCTCCTCCTCCCCCTCCTCCTCGTCCCAGCCCCGCCTGACCAACGACCTCCCCTCAGATCCGGTCGTGGCCCGTTCTGTCACAGCAAGCGATGTCGCCGTGCTCCGGGCCTCGGGGCCCGTTGCAGATCGACCCGGCCGGGAAAGACGCAGCAGAAAGACGTGGTCTGAGGCTATGGTCTTCATTTTCTGCGATGTCGAAAGTTTTTTCGCAACGTCGGATCTGAGGGTCACCGCGCGGTCCGTCACCGCACGGCCTTGGGGCTCTGGAGGCGCCCGTCGTCCCAATTAGACGTCCCCGGGGAGCAGCCCGAGCCCCAAAAACCGCGCGGTGACCCTGGACACCCACTGACTCACCACACTGTAGCCCTCCTCCGAATGTTCAGTTTCTGGGCCATCACTCGGGAATCTGGCGGCCGTTCGGGACGATCCGGGCATCCCCAGGACGCTGTCGGCGAGGCGCAGCTGCTGGAAAGCACCCCTGAGCTTAAAAAGCCGCCGAGAACCAACGCAAACACCCGAAAACTTCCACGCAAGCTCACCGCGCGGTGGGGTCACCACACCGCCTGGGGGGCCCCTGAGCCTTCAGCAGCCGCCTCGCGTTCTCCACGTACGCGCGCAGGCCCCCATTGTTCGGGTGTTGCTAGAAGTGCCCCTGGCCCGAGGTGGCCCCAGGATTTCCACGGACGTCCCCACGGCCATCGCGAGGCCCAGAGGGGCCCACGGGGGTTCAAAAACTAAGCCAAAAGCTCGGGAGACCTCGGGCCAGGGGCACCTGCAGCAGCCCCCGAATTGTAGGCGCCGTCCAGCGTGCGCGCCTGCGTCAGCAGGCGCGCCCTGGCGCCGCCCTCCAGGCCCTCCAGCAGGTGCGCTTGGCCAGCGGCCCTCAGCAGCTCCGCCGAACTCTCCTCCTCTAGAGGGGGGGGGGGGGGCGGGGAAGGGCGAGGAGGAGGAGGAGGAGGAGGACGCGCCTTAGAGGAGGAGGAGGAGGAGGAGGAGGAGGAGGAGGAGGAGGAGGAGGAGGAGGAGGAGGATGGCGAAGGACGAGGAGGAGAAGGAGAAGGATGGCGAGGGAGAAGGAGGAGGGTAGAGGGCGAAGGAGGAGGAGGAGGAGGAGGAGGAGAGGAGGACGCCCCCCATTCATGGCCTGTCGACAAAAAGTCGAAGAAGAACAGAGGAGGGAGCAGGTATCCGATGTCTCGGTTTTCTCGATGCAGGCCCCTGCAAGTCCTTATCATTTTCTCGGAGCACGCTTTACATCCCGAACCGTGCCTTTATGGCCCTGGGCCCAATGAGGGCCCCAAGGGACCGAAAATGGCCAACAAATGCAGCATATTCCTCCACGCCGTTTGTTTTCGACGCGCCCAAGTGGACGACATCGACACCACAGGTGCGGCTCGCGCCCCAAATAGACGAAGCGGGCACCGCGGCAAACCCACGTCGAACCCACCCCAAAGCATAAAGACGCGCGTCGGAACCAAGGGCGCGGCGACAGATTGAATTCAACAGACACACGTCCGACAATGTGTTTTTTCAATCAGCGGCCGTGGAGGCCTCCGCCACTTCTCCGGGGCCATTTTGTCGCCGCGGACTCATTCTGGATCGTCCTGGGTCCGACACCAGCCACCAGAAGCCGAAACTTAGCAAAAACACCCAGGGCTGAAGTTTTAAAATTGGGAAATTCAATGAATATTGAATCGAGCCACGTAGTGTGGAGGACATGCGGCCTTTATTGGTGGTGGTAGGCCTATGGTGCCCACATTTTATGATTGAAAGGCTTCGCACACCCCCTATGGTAGGGGAAGTGGGTGGACGGGCCGCACCCCCTGGCGTCGCACGTGCTACGCCAAGGGTGATGGGAGCGGTAGAAAGTCCTTCCCACCCGGGGAGCGCAAAACAACACATCGTCGTACATCTGGGTGCGTTGAAGGTCTCATGTTGAAGGCGGCCAGGGGGTCTGAACTGGATGTGGCCCCAGACACCCCCAGACAATGGGTCAAGAATGGGGGGCTGGGCCAAGTCCGCGCAGAATCGATCCCCAGACCCCTTCCGGGGTCCATCTGGCGCAGATTGTCACCTCCGATTTGTTTTTGACTGTCCCCGGGGTCCGAGGACGGCCCCCATCGGCCCAAGGGCGGGCTCCTTGGAGACATGTGCCGCTGCTACCGCGTCGCATTCAATTGTCGGGGGGCCCCCAGTGGGCCTGCACCACAGGTCACCATGGCGAAACTTAACTCTTACGTGTAGCCTGTAGCCGTCGCAGGAGCGTCGCGGGGCGGGAGGCTCGGGGAGGCTCGGGAAGGCTCGGGACGTCGACGCATGGGAACCAGGACATGGATAGCGTGTCGCGCCGAAGCGTAGTGAGCCAGAACTGGCGGAGCGACACGCTAAGCCAAAGTTCCCGACCGTAGTATCGTCTGATATCTGGGTGCGTTGCAGGTCTCAGCGGCGACGACGACGACGACGACGACGACGCGGACGCGGACGCAGACGCAGACGACGACGACGACGACGACGACGACGACGACGACGACGACGTCGTCGTGGTCCGCAGCGCCTCGGCGGCCATGGCCGCCGCGGGCACAACCTGCAGCCTATTCCGCAGCGCCGCGCGCGCGGAGCGCGGCGCCGCGCGCCGCGCCGCCACCGCTCAGCGCCGCGTGCCGGCTGCAGGCTTGCGCCGCCGGCCGCACCACCGGCCGCCGGCGGCCGACCCTTGGGCCAAAATGGCTTCGCAGAGTGCTGTGGATGGGGCACCCAGGTATGATCGCGTCGTACAAAACTAAGACCAGGGATTATTCATCGCTTTCGACCTTCGATCTCTGGAAGCCATCGCCGGGCCCGGGCCCAGAGATCGTCGAAAAACGACTCCGGATGAAAAGCCGGTCCCGGGGGCAGGGCCGGGACTTCCCGGGACGCCGCACTGAAAAAATCAGGGCGGCGCATGTCTGGGGATGGGGCGTGGGCGCGTTTCGCGCGGTGGCGCGCACGATGGCCACCGAGCGCATGGCGCGCCCGGTGTTCTGCGTTTGGACCCACCTTTGCCCACCCGCTTGTCAAAGACTTGCGCCTCGGAGCGCTCGCCTGGCTCTGTCCCACCCTTGCCCACCCACTTGGGAGGGCTCGCGCCTTGAGGCGCTCGCCTGGTCGCGCTCCTTGGGAGGGCGCGAGATGGTGGCAGCGAGGCCGCTAGTTGTGCTCGGACGCTGGGGGGGGGGGAGAAGCAGGGCCAGCTGCCCCGATACGTAGCACGCAGCCCGTAGCGTGCCGACACGGAGCTCAAGGCGTAGATTGAAAGCGCAGGTCTGGCGCGAGACATTCGCCCCAACACGCAGCGCGACCAACCCGGACGTCTCGAACAAGGCACGCGTTGCGTGTCAACCGGCGCTTCGGGGTGGCATTTCTCAAGAGGGGGCGATTGTCCTTCCGACTTGGCTTGACCCCCCCCATTCGTCCTCCACCTCCCCCTCCTCCTCCTCAAAGCCCCCCTTCCACCGGCGTCGACAGCGCATGCCCAACCCCACCCCGCCCCCTGACTCACGGGAGGGGGTGCGATTATCCCAGACCCCCGCGACGTCATGATCTTGTCATGACCTCGACCCCCCGAGATCTCGACCCGTTCCCCGGGACTGGTTCTTCCTCCCGCGTCCTCCTCTGACGGCCCCGTGGCCGCCACGGGGCCCCCAAAGGCCAAAAGTGGCAAAAAAACCTCCCCGTCGTGATTTCTGCCAAGACCCGAGGGACGAGGAGGAGGAGGAGGAGGAGGAGGAGGGGCAAGCTAGGTGCGCTCGCGTCATATCTGACATCCTACCCCTCCCTCCCATCCCTTACCATGGTGTAGATCCCCTCTCTACTCGCACAGTCGGATGTCGAGCAGGGCAAGGATCCCGAAAAGGTACGCGATGCATTGTAGAGCACGGCATGGCATGGAGTAGAAGAGCACCGCAAAGCGTAGTATCAACCTATCATTGCATTGCATGCCGTGGCATGGCACGGGAAATGACGCCAGCGCTGCAGCGGGAGCACGAGTCGGAACGAGCGGAAGCGCGGAAATGAGGCCAGCGCTGCAGCGGGAGCACGATTCGGAACGAGCGGAAGCACGGAAATGAGGCCAGCGCTGCAGCGAGAGCACGATTCGGAACGAGCGGGGCCCGAAAATGAGGCCGGCGCCTCAGCGAGAGCAGCATTTTGGAAAAAATGAAGGCGAAAACCCAACTCCGGGGAATCCTGTGTGTAAAAAAGCAGTGCGCGGGGGTGGGGGCTAACACTTTCAAACCGTCATCCGGGGAAGAGGGAGAATAGTATTCATTTTGAGTAATTGTGGAGGAGGAGGAGGAAGAGGAGGAGGAGGAGGAGGAGGAGGACGACGAGGAGGAGGAGGAGAAGGAAGAGCTAAGGTAAGGAAGGCCAGGGCCGGCCCCGGCCTCGGCCCTGGCCCTGGCCCTCAGCTTTCCTCTTCCGTTTTTCGCCTCCCAGACGCCTGCCCCCGAGGAGACAGACGGCTCTTCTCCTCCTCCGCCTCATCCTCCTCCTCCTCCTCCTCCTCCTCCTCCTCCTTCCTCCTCCTCCTCCTCCTCCTCCTCCTCTCCTCCTCCTCCTCCTCCTCCTCCTCCTCCATCATCATCATCATCATCATCGTCATCATCATCATCATCATCATCGTCGTCATCATCATCATCATCCTCTTCTTCCTGTTCTCCTCCTCCTCTTCCTCCTGCTCTTCCTCCTCCTGCTCCTCCTCCTCCTCCTCCTGCTCCTCCTCCTGTCCTCCTCCTCCTCC